AAGCATGATGTGGACTTCCTCAGATTCCTGTGGTGGCCAGATGGCGACACCAACCAACCGCTAGCAGAATACCGGATGACGGTGCATCTCTTCGGAGCAGTTTCATCACCGAGCTGTGCCAATTTTGCACTGAAGCGGACAGCTGATGACAATGAAGGAAAGTGTAGCACTGATGCTCTAAACACCATTCGTCAAAACTTTTATGTAGACGACTGTCTGAAATCTGTCCCAAACGAGGGCCAAGCCATCCGTCTGGTGAAAGAGCTTCGATCAGTCTGCACCACAGGTGGATTTAAACTCACCAAATGGACCAGTAACAGTCGTGCAGTCCTTGCCTCTGTTCCAGTGGAAGAGAGAGCAAAGGAAGTCAAAGATCTAGACCTCGACAAAGACAAACTGCCAATCGAAAGGGCCCTCGGCATGCGATGGGACATTGAGTCAGACACTTTCTTCTTTTCAATCGCCCCAAAACAACCATCAGTAACCCGCAGAAGCATTTTATCGGTGTTAAACTCTGTATACGACCCCCTAGGGTTCATAGCGCCAGTAATGCTGACAGGGAAAGGAATACTGCAGGACCTGTGCAAGCTAAATTGTGGATGGGATGAAACAATACCAACTGCTTACACAGAGAGATGGACGGAATGGCTAAAAGATCTTAACCTGATTTCCAGCCTAAGAATCAGGAGATGTCTTAAGCCACAAGATTTTGAAGTTGCTAGAGCACAGATGCACCACTTCTGCGACGCAAGTGAGCGAGGTTACGGGACAGTCAGCTACTTGAAACTTAGCAGTAAAGTTGGACTACCTAACATAATGTTTGTGATTGGGAAATCAAGAGTTGCACCCTTAAAGGTGGTGACAACTCCACGTCTGGAGCTTGCTAGTGCAGTTCTCGCTGCTAGGATAGACAGGATGTTGAGGAGAGAGCTCGAGTTAACCCTCGAGGACTCAGTCTTTTGGACCGACAGTACCGCTGTCTTAAAATACATCCAAAATGACGCCAGAAGGTTTCAAACCTATGTAGCCAACAGAGTGTCCACTATTCGGGAACTGACACACAAATTCCAATGGCGCCACATAAAGACAGAACTCAACCCCGCAGACATGGCATCAAGAGGCATAAAAACCGAGAAGTTCATTCAAGAAGGACATTGGCTGAGTGGTCCAAATTTCCTGATGCAACCAGAAACTGACTGGCCAGTGATTCAAGTACCACCCACGCTGTATGACAGTGACCCGGAGGTCAAGAAGGTGGCCATGGCTTTCACTACAAGTATACTGCAGAATGAAAGGCCACTGACTCGTTTTATTGAGCACTTCTCATCATGGAACAAATTGATCCGATCATCAGCCTGGATCTTAAAATTCAAAGAAACTCTGAGACGAAAGAAAACTAGTAACGCCTACCCAACCGGGTCGCAGCTGTCCGTGGAGGATTTAGCCAAGGCAGAGAAATCACTTGTGTCTTATGTCCAACAACAATCCTTCAAAGATGAAGTGACCTCTCTACAAAGGGGCTTACCCATAAAGAAAAACAGTAGGATCTATAGACTAGATCCTATCCTCCAACATGGAATCCTGAGAGTCGGAGGCAGACTACGTAAGCTGGCAATGCCAGAGGAAACCAAACATCCTGCTATTCTACCCAAAGACAACCACCTGTCAAAGATACTCCTACACCAAACCCACACCTCGATGGCTCATTGTGGAAGAAATCAACTTATCGCAAAACTCAGGACAAAATACTGGATTCTAAGAGTAAATTCTGCTGCAAGAAAGATCACAAGGGACTGTGTACTTTGCAGGAGATGGCATGGCACAGCAATGACACAAAAAATGTCCGACCTACCGCTACACAGGATAACACCTGATTTGCCGCCCTTCACCCATACAGGACTAGACTACTTCGGGCCCATAGAAGTCAAGCGCGGCCGCAGCAAAGTAAAACGGTATGGAGCCTTGTTTACGTGCCTAGCAAGCAGAGCTGTACATCTGGAGATGGCCTACTCAATGGATACAGACTCATGTATTTCTGCACTGCGAAGATTCATCTGCAGACGAGGCCAAGTGAAAGAAATTGTTTCCGATAACGGTACTAATTTTGTCGGGACTGAACGAGAGCTTCGAGAAGCACTTACACACCTTGACCTCAGCAAGATCCAGCATTCGATGCACGCTGAAGGTATCAAATGGACATTCAACCCCCCTTATGGTGCTCATCATGGAGGCGTATGGGAACGACTCATCCGGATGATAAAAAAGAACCTCTACTCCATCACAAGGGAACAGATCCTGGATGACGAGAGTCTCCAAACAGCTCTATGTGAAGTAGAGGCAATCATGAATGACCGGCCCATCACAGTCTTATCCCAGGATGCCAAAGATCCAGAACCTCTGACACCCAACCACCTGCTTCAAATGAAGCGAATGCCGACTCTTCCACCTGGACTCTTCGACAAAAGTGATACCTATTCCAGACGAAGATGGAAGCAGACTCAGTATATAGCGGATCTCTTCTGGAAACGCTGGATACGAGAGTACCTCCCATTGCTACAGGAGAGACAGAAATGGAATAAGATCAAAAGGAACCTAAAGTATGGAGACATAGTGCTGATCATCGATGAAAGCTCACCACGCAACTCCTGGCCTATGGGCCGAATCACGGAAACCTTTCCCGACAAAAGGGGACATGTACGTCGTGTCAAGATCAGGACACAAAATGGCACCTTGGAAAGGCCCATCACAAAGCTGTGCCTCCTACAAAACATGCCCTGATTAGATCCTCGAATAGACTTTGCCCCCTTTCCTTCGACCCTTGAGAGAACTCATTTTCCCTTTCTCAGGAATTTTTTGAACCCGTTTTACAAAAAGGACTATCGAAACTAAATGGATTATATTTTTGGCCTTTTTTCTTAATTCTATGGACACGAGACAAAGGACTCTAAAGAATGTGCTTCATATGTTTAAATGTATGAATTGTCCTCTACCGGTCAATTAGGGGCCGGAGTGTAGAAGCCATTCCACTACATTTGTATCGTGCACAATGAAACTGCCTTTTCTGTTGATTTGATTGATTTGTGATGATGTAATGATGACGTCAGGGGGCGTCGGCTATTTAAATGTCACCTGAGTAAGGCCAGGTGTGTTTTTCTATTTCGAGAGCGGAAGGAGATATTATTTTTGACCGCATTACGCATTACGCATTACGCATTAGGCATTGAATTCTCATTTATTTTGATTGTGATTTAGGTTGTTTTTGCCGAACAATAAATAAAGAATTTTGAAGTGACAATACGAGCAAATGCGCGTTGATTTTACCGACCGCTCCTACACAGCTCAATGGCTGTTTTCTTTCACAATGTTGTTGTTCTACACATATGTGTCCATCTGGATTCATCACAAAGTGCCACACAATGAGATGCAACAATCTACATATCTTCCAATGTGTGAAAGTAGGTCAAAGCAGCATAGGACTGAGCCGTCGGTAGGAATAGCCCTACAGGGATGAGTAGAGAGGAGCTCTTGTTTAGGGACAGCAGAGATTAAGATAAGGTTTCTGGTATACCTACATGGGTTTCCTTTCATCCTCACATCCAGACATTCAAGTGAGTGCAGCTGTCTTACTAAACTACACATTGATGATCACAGCTTTTCTGAAAAGTTAAGCTCAGTTTTTAGCGATTCCAATTAAGCCTCAGAAAGCAGGAGATACTGTAGTATCTGTATTTTGATACTGTATTTACTGCAGTGTAAATGATGGGTCCATTTGCTTCTGTAACCTGCTTTAACGTTTAAAGGGCCTGCTGCATTCAAGGAACAGAAAAGACATTTTAGGAAATACATATGTGCTATAAATGCTATCTCAACGTGCCCAGAATGAGACTGAACTATTGTGCAGTAAGTTAGTCTTGCTACTAATTTGTCCCAGTGGCCAATGCTGCTACTAAAACTGTAAACATTTTGGATGAAACGTTGCCCAAGGCAAGACAAGCTCATTCTATAGTTTGACCAAGGAAAGAGACCACAATACGCATATGCACAGAGCTGGAAGAGAAAGGGAGGAGATAAGCCTTTCTTTGGCATACTGTAGGTAGTGGATTGGATTACTGCTTGTGTTGTGTTAGTGACTGAAAAAGTACATTGAAATCCAAACATGTCACAGTCACACACTTACTTGGCCCATCCACTAGCAAACTCCTTGCTACAGGGTTCTGATGTACCTTTCACCGTTAAACAATACTCCCATTGCCAGTTTTGGACAGAGCTCAAGCCTGCATGTAGCCACTGAAGCACAACGTGACATCATGAGTTAAACTGCAATCAGGGTTCCAATCTCATTCTCAGAGCATCCCATGCGAACGCTTCTGATAGAAAACGCATCTGCACAAGTAGGAATGTTACTGCAGGTATGTAACAAGTGTACTTATCTTAACCTAAATCCTTTTTTTCCAAACCCGTACCTAAGTGACACCAATGGGTCTTGACCAAGTGGCTAATATATTCAGAGAATCCTGTCAAGATTTCTTTTTCATACTTTTGTAGTTGTTTTGCTGGGAATGTAGTTCTTTCTGTGTCCCAGGAGTCACGTGACCGAAACACCCGATGAAACTATTTCAAACACGCAACACAATGTTTCCCAAACAACTGTGGATATACAGCGAGCCATGGAGCACAGGACATGGACTCTAGTTATAAATGAGATATAGTGCAGTGTTCTGATTTGTTCAATGCCTATTAAGAACAGATTGTATTACAGCAGAATGGTGAGAGATGACAAAGCACTGGATCTACTTACTTACACACACACACACACACACACACACACACACACACTCTTTTACAGTTCGTAGTCAAAGAACTATGTGTTGCCTTGTCTTACTTACACAGCATGCTGTTGTTTTTTGCTTCACACGGAGCCAACATAACGTGCAAGGCAATAAGAATTCTTATTATACGTTATTACTCATAAATTCAAACCAGAGCTTGTCTGAACTTACTGGAATGATGGCTCCACATACGCCAACAGGCTCGTGCTTGGTAAAACACATGAAGCTTTCATCTGTGAACAAAACACACAAAGTATAAACAGTTAGTTTATACTTATACAGTCACTGGGAACATTTCATTTTGTTGTTTTTGTTTTACAGGCCTCTTCTTCCTAGAAAAGGTTATGGAGCTACATTTCTTTACAGGCCAAAGACAACCAAATCAGAAGAGACCGGCAGACCGGGTAGAGTTTCTCTAGGTAGTGATACACTACTATAAATACATAGTGTGTCAGGAAAGTTTATATTCTGTACTGTGACATATTTGAGTATTGTACAGTTAAAAAAGTTGTTGGAATGTTGCGTAGGGATTCGGTTGAAATTAGTGTGAACAAAATTGATTTAGATTTTAAAAGGATATGATGAAATTTAGTCAATTCTTCAATAATATATAATTCAACAATATGAATGGGATTGTGGATCTTATAACATTGGGACAATGAGCATTTACCATATCATTGTGACTTTAAACTGCCATTAAATAGTCACGGTAAAATGGAGGCCTTAAATTGTACTGTACGTAGAGCACGTAAGTGGCTCCGCAGATAACGGAGGTCACTTATTTGCAACATCCTCACGCACAATGTGCTGTCAGCGAGTAACACAAGCTTTAGACGGATAGCCTCTGGCCTGCAGTCGCTCCACATTCCAAACTGACACGTCCATTCTCCGCCATGATCAAAGGCCAAAGCACCACTCTGTACTGACGGACTAATATTGCCATGAGGCCAGTTTACAGATTCCGGTGAGTTGAGAAATATACTGATCTATACTGTATATTTGTACAATATATCTAGATTTCGTGTCATGGTTAGGCCACGCCTCCTGCTGGTATCATGTGGAGGGGTGTGGCTCCAAACTGAGGCCCATTCAGACTCCCTGATTTTAAGTCACTTCACCTGCGCAGGCAACCAAGCTGCTTTCAATCCACAAATCATCTTGCAGTACATGTACCTCGTTTCCTCCATCTATCTTCCATCTACCTGTCGGCAGATCGTCGTTCCCACTAACCTGGTAGTAATTACCCTTGGTTGTTCTGTTGACAAATGTCTCAGAGATATTGGTTTGTGGTTTTTCTACGTTGACCCTGTTTTCTGTGTTCTTGCAGTCACCCATCCTCTCGATTCTCCCGTTTGTCTGCTGTTTCCCCACCTGGATTTCCATGCCATTCCCCCATCTGCCTCCATTTCTAGTTCCTGACAAAAAATAAGCTCCTATACCTCCTGCTCTCGCTGCGTTTGGGTCCAACACACGTATCGTGACATTTAAAGAACAAGAACACCGCTAACGTCATTAAGAATTAAAATGTTGGATAAATAACTATAACTCTCATGCTTTATCAACTTGGTGTATAAAGCAGCAAAGCCATGCGGCTAGAGATGTTCAATACCAACAGTGTACCTAGTCCAAATGAAAATAAGTTCCTGTTGCACATGAAAATAATTTAATGATAAGTAACCATCACAATATTTTGGATTCATGGTGATTGACTTCTTGCTGTTATTGATGATAATTGTGACATATGTTGTATTGATTTGTTGCTAGTTGGAAGTCAGCGGGACTCATGCATCACTACTCTGTCTTAGACTTTTTGTAGTTTAATCTATTCTCTCACATTCCCACAAGTAAAATAAAGTACACTAGACTCTTGTATGCTTATTCCTGATGAAGGCAGGATGTCTGAGCGCTAGCTGGCTAACTAAGTTCAGTGGTCAAAGGGTCTAGCATAAGAATGGTACTGAACAGTTAGAATCATCATTGTTAGATATCTCTAGAAGCATCTACAAATAATTTTTGTTTCTGTCTCCGTCTGAATCTTATCATTAGTAATGTTGCTGACTGGAAATGCTGTGACTACATGAATGGATCAGTCCATTCATGTAGTCTTAGGGAGATGGTTCACAGTGCACAACAGTGTTATCCCCGAACCATCCAAAAATGTTTTACTTTCCATCCCATCAGATGACACTAGCCATCTTTGCAGCATCTTCGCCTTTAAAGGATGTCTGTTGCCAGCTTGTCCACTTTTAATATTAAACTTCATCTGTGCGTCCCATCTTGAGGAATGCTAGTGAAGCTGCTCCTGCACTGCAATTTACAGTGGATTTTTAACGGTATCTTACAGTATTTCATAATGAATGTAACATACAGTTAAATGTCTTGTCATCCCTTTCATTTAAATGAACAGTCAATGCCGTAAATGAACATTTAATGCTGTCAATTAATAACACCAATATCCAGTATTTTTGTGGTATTGTAAATACACATGATTATACATGTTCTTTATTGAAACTGTTCATTGGCTAAAAGCTATTTTTGAGTGACCATATGTGACCGTTTGCTTCTGAACGTGATGTCACACCGCGGAGCCTCAGTTCTTCCTGAGCATATTTCATATGGAGTTCAATGGAGGCATTCCTCATTCCCTCGTCTCTCCAGGAAACGTTACGTTTCTCATGCGAAATCAAAAATTAATACTATTATTGAAAAAGCAGAGTTGCGTGCTGCTATGCTGAATTCTGTTCAGAGAACCTTTTATTTTCTAACCAACGCTCGGGTATGAGTTAAGCACTCTTAATAACAATAACAACAAGCTAACGTCTCTCCTTTCTGTCACTTAATGTTGCTCATCTTTTTGTCCCAAGTGAAAACATTTTCTGCCTCTCTTGGAACAGTCTTTTGTCTCGGAGACATTTAATTACCTGCAACAGTTATGTATCAAATGAGCTTCCTTGTCTTAATTTTATTCGTGAGGAATTAAATGCAAAAGTATTGGGTTGGATTACACTTTTGTGAATTAAAGAAGCCTTTACATTCTGGCATGTACCATCAAATTAGCACAACAAAAATAGTTAACCTAACTATGGTAACATACTGTACTGTAAAAATAATTATTGGTAAATTAGTAGCGTCCTTGTTGCCAGTAAGTCACCTTTAATTTATGTTGAAATTGTTTATAGTGTGTTTAAAAGGGGGGATTACAGGCACTGAGCCCATGCTGATTGTTAATCCTCGCAGAGAGTTGCACCTCACTGATTACTATCTCAGCTTCTTCCTCTTCTCTTTGTCCTGCCGGGCCTTACATCTCCCAGCACTCTATTGGGATCTAATCAGTAGGAAAAGTCAAGCGGGTATTGTCTCTCTGCTGTCCTGCAGAGGCAGAGGAGACGCAAAGTAGGATCTGACAAGAGGGGGAAGTATTAAGAGGCTGGATGAGACACCAGCGGGGGCAGCTCACTTGTACCATAGCAATTAATGGTGCACTGGTTATGGAGCCCTGCTAATTATTATGTGAACACTTTCAAATACTTGTTTTATGTTTTCATGTATCATTTTACATTATTTTTTCAATTATAGGCACTGCAACTCTAAAACTGTCCTTCAGCGCCGACCAGACCAGACAAAACTTTTAACTTTCTTTGACTTCTTACTGTTAAATTTAGGCACAATGCAAATCAAATCACTGTGGACGGCTAAAAGTAAAACAGGATAAAAAGGTTTGATTTCTGCTCTTGCTTCCTTGACACGCACGTTTATAGACTTTATTGTTGAAGAACTCCCCTTCCACTACCAGGTACTGTAAACTTGGACGTGTTCTCAATTGTCTCTATGTTGGTTGGTCTGATTATTGGTGATTATTATCTGTTAACATAAGCAAAGGTTAACATAATAACTGGTATTGATTTGAGTGCATTATTTACCAACTGATGCTCGCAAATTGGAGTTGATTCTGAGAAAATCTTGTGTGTTTTAAAACCGTTTGGAGTAAAACACAAGATGAATGTATGTGTTTTCCTGTTGTCTATGTTATGGCTTGTGACTGTACAGAGGACCCCAAAGGGTCAGACATCATGTCACATTCTGTCGGGTCTGCAGTGATATGAATTGCCTAACAGCACTGTGCCTGAACACATCACATGGCCACACACATTATGCTCACATATCCTGAGTTTCTCTATCATCAGGCTTTCTTGTGTCATGTTGTCTCTGTTTTCGGTTCGTTTTTTCATTGATACAATCTCTGGATCTCTGCTGGTCATGACGGCTCCTTCCGTTGACAAATGCACACACTCACCTACAGGCAGACTCCTGCCATGGATCTTGTCGGCCCAGCCTGCATAATATCGCAGGGTTTTGATGCTGCCATCCAGGTCTATGAAGAAGGACTGCAGGAAGGGCTTCCCTGTGTCCAGAGTCTCCAGGGTCTAAACAAACAGGAAAACTAGCATTACTCGTTTACATTACAAGTTAGAACTTCCCTTTAGAGATGTGATTTATTATTCTAACTGTAAAGGAAGCAACGCTGGCTGATGTTATCAGACTTGTATAGCTTTTGCATTAACCAGGGAGTCATATGCTTAGAACGCATTGTACATCTTTTACGTTGTTCATTCTGTACACGTGCCGTCTATAACACTCCGTCCATCCTGATAGAGGGATCCTCCTCTGTCTCTCTGGTCTCTTCATTTTGTCTCCCTACGGAAAATATGTGAGGGTTCGGGGACGGAGGATGTAGCATGTGTAGAGATTGTAAAAGCCTTTGTAATTTAGCATTGTGGGCTATCGAAAATAAATGTAATTGAAAACTTATTTTGAAGACACAATGAGGCAAATGGTAAAACTATCGAGTGGTGTAAACTTCCACCTACTGACCTACTGTACTTACTGTAGTCCTTAAGATTATTAGGAACACTTTAATGAATTTCCTTTTTGCCCCTAAATTCTCTCCTAAATTCATCACGAGCCACAATTAGATCCCAACTAGAACCTCAAATACATACTTATTCCTTTTTGGAAAACATTTTCTTCATACTTCACACTCATAAATACATAGGGTCCCAATAATGTCCCACTCATTCATGTGTCACACATGAATGAGTGGGACATTATTTACACAGCACTGTACCAACCTGTATTCCATGTTGACTATATTTACTTTTACGTAGTTACCCTGGCAGATCCTGGAACCAGTGTACTACATTACTGTCCCTTTAAATGCTCCAAATCTGGTCCTTATTTCTCCAAACATAGCTGGAAATGTAACGTAATTAGCCATACTTTGCACACTGCTACTGCAGAACATGTTTGCAGTCAGCACTCACATGCAATCTGATAGTATTACTTCGCTAACATCTGTAAGGGCTCATTCATAGATCGAAGTCTCAATGCAAGATGGCAGCAAAACACAGTGATTACACACAGAAATATCTGAAAGAGCAACATCCAGCAATCATTACACTTGGAGAAAGGAGGCTGGGTGGGGTCATGAAGTCATGCAATGATTTAGGCCAATCCATGATATGAATAAGCCAACATAATGAGAGCACATGGACAGTTTGTAGCTGCAGGAAATACCATACGTTTACTGATGAAATAGCACTCCTTTTTATATTTGACATTGTTATGAATACTATGTGAGAAACAAGCCACGCGAGAAAAGGAACTGTTGTCCTTTAGCATGAGTTAGTTGTGTAATGCAGGGACTTATGGTAGAAGAAAAGAATATATTTTTTTCAGAATCTGACATTGTGTTGTAAAAACGTGAAAATGTTCAACAAAGATGGGAATCTGCTTGATACACGTGGTAGAAAGGAAGCTAGTGAAATTAGTACGGTGATGTAGTAACTACTCACAGCTTCTTGAAGTTACCCTACTCGATACTTGAGTACATTTCAAGGCAAACATTACAACCCCTTCCTACCAGAACCGATACACGACTAAAAATATTATACGCGTCAGTAATAATATCATTACCGTTATGTTGAAAGTACATCCTTCTGATGCTCAAAATTGACTTTTAACCCCTGTATATTTACCCTGGGGAAACATCAATGCCAACGATACAACTTTTACATGTTTGTTGTATTTTTCTGTTCTCATCTCAATTGAATGTTATTGAGTTTTATTTATATAACCTAAAAAATCCACCAAAAAATGTATACTGTATATCAAGTAAATTATTGTAACCTTTCTATATTTTTTAATTTATGTAAATGAATTCATCCTCATAAGATTGTTTTCATCATTTCTTTCCTAGAAAACATCTTTAAAAAATCCCATTTTGAAAAGCGGCTTGAGAAAATTAGACTGCACGAGTCCTTCTGGTTTTTCCGGGAAACCAGATGGATGAAAGGTGGATGAAAGGTGGTGTTTGCAGAGCAATAAAGCAGCGGGAAGAAGCCCACCGCCAGCAGGAGCCGATCCCTCTCCATCAGGTCGGCCAGTTTGTGCAGCAGCCGTCCGCGGCTGGACGCATCCATCCTCCGCCACGGAGAGCCTCTCTGCTCGGCCGCCTTGGCGGCCTTCACCGCTCGGTCCACGTCTTCCTGCGCAGAAAGAGGCACACAGGTGTCCACGTGAAGACACAGTCACACGCACGCACCACGGCCACTTTACACTAGTAACATATTAGCATAAGATTTGTTTCAGTAGCAGGTTTAACCTTGCAACTTAATCAATGTCCCACTTATTAAATGATATTGCCCGAGTTGCTTTGTGCCTCTATAATGCACAAAATCCATTTTACACCAAATTTAGTAATAGTTTTTTTTACATGATTAGGATATTTTATTGTGCTGGATTTTATATATCAATCCATTTAACACCAACTTGGTAATAGGTTTTTTTAACGATTAGGATATTTTATTATCCTGGATTTTATAGATTTTTTACGGAATAATAAAAAACCCTTTCATTATATATTGAAATAAAGTTTAGCTTGACGTAGTTTTTTTGCCTATTGATTTTGAGTGGTATATGTATTAATCCTAAAATACGTATAAATTAGTTATTCCTGTACAAAAAAACCCAAAGGAATGCCTTCTTACCTTGTCTGCTTCTTCCACATCACAGATTTTGTGTCCTGTGGCTGGGTTGAATGTAGGAAATGTCCTCCCACTGCTGGACGTGTGCCATTCATTGTCAATAAAAATCTATGGAAAGTAGGGAGTGTTTGGAATGACTTTGGTTCGTGCCGGATTCAAGTCACCAAGTTAAAACACAATAGAGTAAATGCTACCGACCCAACTTGCAGCAGCTGCACCTGGTTACAAAGCAGGGCTCCCTTACCTTTGTGTGCCTGACCTCCTGGACTTTGACAGGCTGAGGGAGAGGCAAAGCTGCGATACCTTTGGTCCCTCGGTTCTCTGTGGTTCCGTTCTGTGCCATTGTGAGTCAGCAGTAGAGTCCAGGGCCAGTCTGTCCGCTCCGTCTACTCAACACTGTCAGCCCATCCACCGGCTTTTTATAGGAATGTGGAGTTCCTCCCTCTTCTCACAGCAGTTGAGGAGAGCCCGACTCCGCCCCCAGCTCTGATGAAGGGCCCTTATCTGTGGGGATATGTGTCCTTACATGCAGCTTTAGAAAGGTCCTGCAACATTAATCCTTTTTATTATTAATAATGTGTGTGAAGTATGAAGATACTGTTTACCTTCATACGTGTACATAAGCAGTGAGGCCGCAACTACTATTTCCAGTCATGACAGTTTGCATTTTCACTTTAACTGGTAAGACTGTGTGAGAGACTATTCTAAATTCCTTCTCGCTTCCAAAGAAAGTGTGTCTTCTCTCACTAATTCCCATGTCAATAAAAAGGGATTATTCCACTGCATTTTTTATCATTGCAGAAAATACGTATCTGCTCATCGAGATGATGAACACCACCAGATGTGGATGCTACAGGTAGAAGTAAAACAATGTAGGGTTGTAAATCTAAGTACATCATGCTCATATGAGCGTGAGCGACACAACCTCCTGTAGCTGTGAAGGCCCACTAGTCAGCGCTCTGACGTCTGCGTCTCATTTAGACACGTGCTTCAAACCGGCTGTTTTAAGACACAAAAGCTTCAACCTGCTCCGCGGGGGTATTCACTGATTTCTGATTCCCTGATTTTTTACTTTTGACTTCCAGGCACTTCCAGGGTTTATGGGACTTTTACAGAGAACGTGACACCAGCACCACTGCGCTCCCAGACATAACCCATTATTCCCAAATGCTTGCCCAGCGCCACAAACTTTCTTTGCCCGTTGGCCACAATGTGCAGCGCACATCCTGTGTCAAAGGTCAAGAAGCCTGCGTGCTCTCAACATGAGGCTGGCTGAGGCAACAGCTAGCAGCTAGCCTGTAAACAAAAGCAACAGTGCTGACAGAGCTAACAGTGTTTACCTGACAGGTAATAGGAAGGGCATACATACGCGTCCACGACAACGCCGTCACTTGGGACAGTAGTGCAGGTAACACGTGGAGCACACCCACATGCACTAACATGCACTCACACGCATCCACATGCACTAACATGCACTCACATGCACTCACATGCCCGCTTGACGATGTCGGAGAATCACGCATTTCACACACTCAAGAGTTACTTCTGTTACTTCCCAGTTTAACTTTACTCTACATACCTGTACATAGATGCAGGTTGTTGCTAAGATAATCTTTAAGTAAATCTTAAGTGTCAAGAGTACAATTTCACACCTGAACTCTTCGGCTGTGTCTTTCAGTCCAGAAATTGAAAGTAATGAAAGTGAATTGATTTTGTTTTTCAATATTTACATTTAAACACAGCAGCTTTTTGTACCAACTGTTCATCAACTGTTGAAAGGTTTTATGAGTTGCGATGTCTCTAGCAAATTGGGTTTTCGCACCTGGGCCTGGTGAAGTTGAACGAAGTTGAACACATGCAAACAAATGCCTTTGTTGGTGAGGACAAAGCTGCGTGCCTGCTCCGGGCTTGCACTCATGCACAGTCTGCTATTGTTTCCCCTTCATTGCTTCTTGTCACTCTTCATGTCAAAGTTTAATTAGGACAACAGGATTTCGCAGGCTCATTTCTCACTTCAGCAACTTTCTAACACTTCATAATGAGAGAGAGAGACTCAAAGGGATTTCATGGAGGGGGAGGGGGGGGGGGGGCTTGGCAGGATGGTTAATTTGGGAAACAACATGAAATGCAAAGCATGGGCCCAGACCAATGCAAATAAGCAGGAGCCTGAATGGATTCACTGCTCAAACAGGTTAAGGGATGGTGAAATGGTGCATTGCTCCGGGACTATTTTCAGCAGTGGATTCATATATTGCTCTTTGAGGTGGGAGGTGGGATTGGCCTATTCTTTAAAACGGATTGGACTAATACTGCAACCTTACAAGGTTACTGCAACAAGTTTTTGGGGAAAGTAAAATCTTCCCATTGGTTTGTACATTTAAAAACAAAATACAAAAAATCAAAAAAGATTTGTTTCCCTAAATTGGTGTACCATATTTTACTGTGTGTTTGTTTCAGTTTCCACAGTAGTGCTTTAAATAAATGTTAAGAGCTCAGCGGATTTCAGCAACGTATTATCCTCACTGTGATCCAAAAATGGTTTGCTATTAATTTTTACGGTTTGAAAACATTTCTTTAATTAATGGAATCGTCATAACATGATATAATACACTGTTTATTCAAAACAGTGTATTATATTGCCTTTTTGTTATGTAGCTGTATCATTTGTGTTTTATTGTTTTAGGTCCTAATAAAATGCGGCACAGATATTGGTTTTATATAAATACACCAGCACTAACTACGGTGGAAGTTGGCTCTCATACTCTTATACATTGTTGGTGTTGGCAGTTTGTCATAAACAGCACATGTTTTTCATTCAGAGAAATCCTTTTCCAGTGGGGATCTGAGTGCACAGCCGGTTACTGTTATAATATGTGTATAGACCAAAAATGTATTCTGTAAGCGGACTGTGAGCAAATTATTTCATTTGTAGAGCAATAATTCCGTCTTATCCTATTAAATAAATGTGAACTGTTGAAGCTGTTCTGCAAGAAATCAACAAGGAATACAAAAGTAGTTTTGGTAGAAGATGTGAAGAGTACTTTAGTGTGATCACATGTGACACGAGGTGTGGTCATGATGGTCCACAGCACTCAGCGAATATCAGTCGTCCAGCTGACCGTCCTGTCGTGGGAAAGTGGAGCCAGGTGACCTCTTCCTCTCGGCCCGGCTGCTCAGGCTAATTGGCGCTGCACACCTGCTAATGACTGTCAGCAGGCTTCAAGGCCAATCACCATCACAACCCAGACAGATAACTGCAGCATTATGGGCTTTGTTGACAACTTGGAGTTGATCATTCATTTCAGCTGCCATACTGAAGATTAGGGGATTGTGATAAAACCAGTGTGATAAGTAACAAAAGTGAAAACTTAGGACGGGTGAACAAAGGGAATTATAACAGGAACTTATCTCATAGAATTCCATGGTGTCAAAAAAAAGAGACATGAACACAGTACAAGCGTGAAATACATAAGCTTTATGGAGTGCAAAATAACAATAGAAAAGAATATCAAACAATGACGATGCATAAGTGCAAAAACAACTACAGGAAAGTCCTCTCAAAACTCATTCGTGTGAAAACACATAATATGATGATAACAATATTTAATAGCAATATAACAATAAACAGCTACGGCACCAAGAAACAGTACAGCATCCAAATGGATTGATCCAACAACTAGAATCGGAAGTCTAGATTGAGATTAATCTAGGGCACATTGGATGCATTATAAGGAAAGGCAAAATATACATTTCTAAATAAATATACAATAAATAAATATCATTCTTACCTTGAGCTGCTCTCTTCAACCTCAATGCACTTCCCCGTGTCCTTCTCTAATTGGTGTGGACTTTCAGTCACACTGCAGACAAAAACAGACAGGAAGTAGAAGAGAGAGGGGGAGGTGGAGTAAGAGAGAACAATTCAGACGGGAAAAGATGGACAGATAGAGAAAAGAGGGAGAGAAATTGAAGGCGGTGAGGGAAGGAGCACTGAGATAACTGCGTCCAGGTGTTCCGAGCCTAACAAAGGCTCTTTTCAGGCCCGATGAGAACGCACTGCTCCTCCACTTGTTGCACAGTATACACGATAGATGAAAGAGGCAGAGCAGGAAGCAGCTTACAGTCTGATACCAGAGGTTGGACCAGCAGAGAGCCGTCCCAATTACGCGAGCCTCGTTGCTGCCAGTAAACAACAGTAAAGAGCTGAGGTCACAACGGTGAACGCTGACAATAATGGACTTGTGTTGCAGTGAGTGTCACGGGCTTTTTGTGTTTCTCAAGATCAAAGTTTATTTTTTAATAAAAGGAAAATACAGCTACAGGACAGTAGACTGTCCCTCCTAGTAGTTTATATAATACCAGATTATCTATTGTTATTTATCATACCTGGTAAGTCATTAAATGTTACTATGAAATACCAGCTAAATGAAATCACTACCAGTCAGACAATCCAATACACATTATAGTAGTAAACATTGTACGGTTGATTGTTAAAACACATCAAAGTCCAACCTGATCTGAATTTATCCTCACTTTTAAATTCTTCATTATTAATAAAACAGGGTACTTCATACACTATATATTTTACACAACAAGACCTACTTACAGTACCTCAAAACTGATTGTTTTGACTGTTCCCATCAAACCAATTAACTGGACCGTCAAAGTTAAGCTACTAATAACACATTGCTTAAAGTTACTCAGACTTTAATTTACTTTAATCCTGATCCTCTATGTGAACCCGTCTCCGTGTAGTCCTGATCCTCTATGTGAACCCCTCTCTGTTTAGTCCTGATCCTTTAGACCCATATGCTCCAGCAGAGACCAGTCCACCGTGGACAGACCCAGATCCGGCTTCATTGCAGCCTTGGACCTGCCTCGGAGCTCCGGCGGGAGGTGGAGAGCTCAGCTCGAAGCATCTGCGTCTCTCCACCTCCTCCACGAGCAGAGCTTCTCCTCTTCCCCGCTGACCCCACACTGTTCCTCCCCAAAGCTCTAAATAAAAATCAGCAAAACGTCCTGAAAAGTATTTGCACTGCAGTGAAACGAGTTTTAATATTATGTATGATGTTGTTAGATTAACACTGCACAGGACATTTCTAAATTCAAAATATTCATTGTCAAATTATATTAACTAAATACGACCAATTTATCCGTCAGTGTTGGTGAAATTATTCATATTATTGATGAGTTTAAATATTTAGGGCAAGATATACATGTTTGAATGAAATTGACTCTTTCCTAAAGGCTTTTGAACACAACAGTTTCTGCCAGTTAATGGCCGACAGTTTACTATTAATAATATATTAATTAATACGTTTCATTATGTGATGGGTAGAGCTCCCTCTACCTGTTTGGCCACAGCACTTTAATTAGTGATTCCCAACAGGTGAGGCCAGATTACTTTTGCCCCAGGTAGGTTTCCCCAGCTCCACACTCGTCTCGGGAACGACTACGGCAGAACTGGGCGCTGAAGGACTAGTCGTGGAGCTCCCACCCCATCTGTGCAGTCTCCAGCTGTGTCTGTTTTTGTAGTGGAGTGGGGGTGTTTTTGGTTTCGTTTAGATCTGCTCTGTAGTGGTGCCGTGATGTTGGGTGGAGTTTTGTACGTTGTGTGTGTGTGTGTGTGCGTGCGTGTGTGTGCGCGCGCGCGTGTGTGTGTCAGCCACAACGTGATTTCAAATAACTCCAATTCCATATGTCTGGTGTTCTCCCCTGTTGGAGTTCACTTGTATTTAGATCAGTTACCGCAAACATTTGGAGAAAGTATTCATGTAACAGAAAGAATCTAGCAGAGTAAGGTCAAAGAGGTTTCCCTTCTTCTGAAATATGAGCCTCCCTCTGAGAAACAAATGTTGCTGCAGGTGAACAGTGATTCACAGAAATAATAGCATATCAATGGAAAACATGGTTATTTAAACAGTTCTATGGGTTGATTTTAAGTGATAAAGAAGATCTTTGATCATAATCAAAGAAAATGACAGACTGCATATCGCTCAGATGGACAACTGTGGACTTTGTCTCCGCTTTCTTTTTGGCAATATGCTTAGCCAGGGGTCCATGTCAGGCCTCGCTGACATGGACCTCCATTCAGCGCTCTGTGGGCTCAGTGGGCTCAGCTTGCAGAGGGATATGTGTCTGCCTGGCGGCCCTCTGTCATCCCCTCCCCAACTGAGCTGACAGAAGTGAGACGTCCGTCTTTTGATGTCTCAAAGAGATTTCTACTCCCGGCGGTTTCTCACCACTTCGTATCGGTCCGTTACCCGGCCTGTCATAAGGGGTGAGATACTGCTTTGTGTTTTCAGATCAGAGCAATTTGCAAATTCGTTTGAGCGGTTAACAAAAGGACCTTGGATGTAGAATGTCATCACTGCTTCTCATGGGCCGTGGATTCACTTTCTTGCCTGACGGCATCTCACTCATTTAAACGCCCAGATGGGGAAAACGGTTGCATGCTTTTGTAAGAAACTGCTGGTGAAAGGTCCATTTTATTGTTATAGCCTGATAAGCTACAGAGTATTCCTCAAAATTCACACTGGAAAGACTCCTGACTCATAATAAAGCAACACAAAGGCTCGTCATCATGAATGTTTCCCAGATCCGAATTAAAGAACTCATACAATTCTTTCCAAAAGTCTCATTCGTGGCTGCTGGGTAGTAATAGGCCAGCCATAAGATCACAGAGTGAAAATTCAGCTAAGAAAAAATATCTTGAAAATGTGTGTAAGTCATCTATGGACAACATAGTAGAGTGTTATCTATTTCTACATCCATTGCAGTCAGTACTGATGTAGAGTAAGATGCCCTTTTTCTTTTGACTGCAATGGTTTACATGCCACTCACCCCACATGTTGACGCAGACACTGAACCCATGGTTGATTTATTCCAGAAGTCAAATACAATGTATGTGATTACTAAAGTGCACTAAGACTGATTCAATTCAAAATAATTTCAATTTAAATGTCTCAATGAAGAGTTGTTGCACTACATTTTGATTCAATTCATTTCTGTTTCACTAAAATGTGATCCAGTATCAACATACTCATAA